AAACCACAGTGACATACTACTTCCAACAAGGCCACACCTACTCCAACAAAGCCACACCTCCTAATAGTGCCACTCCCTTTGGGGGCTATTTTCTTTCAAACCACCATACTTTCCTAAATGTAAATATTTCTTATTCAGACTTTTCAAGACTGTATTATCAGAAAGGCCATGATCACTATTCTTTTCTGTCTTTATCCTTACCCTAAATTATGTTAAACGTAACTTGTTATATTGTCGTTAAACTAAGAGGGAAGACACTTGTTTACTTTGTTCCCTACTCTCTGTAGTACCCAGAACAGTGTTTGACACACAGCAGGGCTCGTGAATATTTGTTGAATTAATAAATGTACACACAATAACTTCACAGGACTGTGGGTTTACATCTGAAAGACTGAAGTGTTCTGAAAGTTTTTCATTTTTCTCCAACCACTTCCCCTGGTGCATACACCAGAACTTAACTTACTCCTTTGTTTATGGAGACTTTTAGTGTTTGTATCCCCTCCCTTGTTTGCGCCTGGCTGCTATGAAACCTCGCTGGTGTTCTTCTGACCTTATGTGTTACTGTTTTGTTTCCCCTCTCCTAACAGCAGGAGAAAAACTGAGTGGCGTACAGTTGAGTCCCAGTAACCAACAGGAGATGAAGGATAACGTGGAGAGAGTGCTACAGTTTGTAGCTTCCAAAAAGATTCGCATGCATCAGACTTCAGCTAAAGGTTAGTTAGTACTTCATCCTTGGGCAACGGAGCACTTAACCTTTACCAGTGCTAGCCAGTTTGACAGACTCCCTTGGCCATGTGGCCAGCGGTTCTGAGCAGACTGGAGTAGCATTAGGCTCATGGTCTTGTGTCCTTGTTCCATGAAGACAGGTAACCCCTTGGAAGACAGTGATCAAGTACTGAAATCTCAGTGCTCCAGAGACCTGGTTGGAGGTGATAGCTCTCTATTAATTTGAATTGAATATAGATATGCTTGAGTGTGTGGGGTAAAATTAATGATACAAGAATAAATGACAAAATTGGGATATTAATTTTGGAATGTCTCGTTTAAATTTTCACGAATGAAGATGGATTGTGTTTTTTGAGATCTTTGGGTTTTATGATCGAGTACTATTACAAACCCTCATAACTTACGCTTTTCCATTCAATTTCCTAGAAGAAACTCTTTCATTTCTTTATTTTTCTTTCCTTTCCTTCCTCCTTTCCTTTATTTCCTGAGACAGGATCTTATGTAGCCCAGGCTGATCTTGAAACTGCCAAGGAGCCAATGACCTTGAACTTCTGATCCTCTAGCTTCCCCTCCTCTGTAGTCACATTACAAAACTGCACCATCACCCAGCTTTATGTGGTGTTGGAGACTGTTGATAATGCTAGGCAAGCATTGGATTAACCGAGACACATCTCTAATCACCTCCCAACCTCAATATATGTATTTTTGAGACAGGGTCTCACTGTGTATCCCTGGCTGTTCTGGAATTTGCTGTATCCTAGGCTTTCCTCAAATTAGGTGTTTCTCCTGCTTCTGTATCTTAAGTTATGGGATCAGAGAGAGAGAGATGTGTGCCACATTCAGGTTAAAGGGAAAATATTTTTATAGCATTTCTTTTCTTTTTTCTTTCTTTCTTTTGTTTAATTGTGAGCACATTCCAGGCAGACAAAGGGGGTCCTGCTGTGTTTATATGTAGTCTTCTGTCGTGGCAGAACCCTTTGCCCTTGCTGTAAGAAAGGAGCCACGTAGGGGTTCTCCGAAAGCATATGCTCCCTTCTCCTTTTGATGCTTTTCTGGAAGTGACGCGATCTGGTCTGTTTCAACACCAGTTTCTGGGTCTGTTGCCTGTACTTTTGCTGAGAATGAGGGCGGGAGGGAACCCTTTCATGATGGATTATTGGTGTTCTGTGGGTTTGAAGTTACCCAGGTGAGCAAATAGTGACCATTAAGAGCATTTGGTAGAAGACATCAGATAGTCCTTTGTGCTTTGTACATTTGAAAGGCTATAAAGCTGAACAATGAAATTGTAGCCATTTCCTTGCATTGTCTTAACCAGAGCTTTCACAGTATGTGTTCCCTCCTCTCTCTCTCTCTCTCTCTCTCTCTCTCTCTCTCTCTCTCTCTCTCTCTGTGTGTGTGTGTGTGTGTGTGTTTCTTTCCTCTTTTTTTTTCTAGGGCAGAATTTAGAGTGCAGTGCTGGCTTTGGTCTGCTCCCCATGTGGAGTGGGCTTGGGGATTTGGCCCAGTAAACCAGGCTATTTTAAGGGAACACTGCCATTCATTGTCTTTTACCTGAAGAAGCTCATGTTTCCTAATTAGTCCTACTGCATCGATTTCCTTCTCCGTTCAGCTTTCCACGCCATAGCAAGAGTGAGCTAAGAGCACATATTGTTGTGCCACTGCTGTGCATCTGAAGTCACGTGGCTGAAATCTGGCATCTTTCCTATCGCCCACCTGGTCCTGTATGACCTCTGGTTCCTCCCCTTCCGCGTCTTTCCCTTCTTCTGGCTCTGGGGCTCTGGCCATCCTGTACTCTTTCACTTTCTCCACCACAGTGCTGGATCATATATATAATGCATGTCACATAAGTGCTTAAAAAGTTTCCTAAAGCCACAATATGAGCAGGAAGGACTGAAAATAATTTTAATAATATATTTTATGTAACCCATTATATCTGTAATATGATTACTTTATCATGAAGTCAATATTGAACATTACTGAGATAGTTTACATTTTACTTTTATTTATTTACTATATGTATGGGGCATATAGTAAATTACCTGCATGTATATCTGTGCACCATGTGTGTGCCTGATGTTCTCAGAGGCTAGAAGAGGGCATCAGATCCCCTGGGACTGGAGTTACAGATGGTTGTAAACTGCCATGTGGGTGCTGGGAATCGAACCCGGGTCCTCTGGAAGAATACCCAGTGCTCATAACACTGAGCCATCTCTCTAGCACTGCATGTTCCTTTTATACTGTCTGAGATCTTTTGCATTCCCATGTGTGTGTGGCCGTGACATTTAAGTGCTCAGTAGTCGCATGTGGCCTGCAGCTCTCCTAACAGACGATATCACCCTATTATACTGATCTCCAGACCTTGGCATGTAACTTTTCCTGAATTGCTCTTATCCCTTCTCCCCCATTAGCTAAGAAGCAGCACCCCATTCTTGACTGAGGACTCACCTCCGCTAATAATACATCCTTCAGAACTCTAAGATTATATTATATCTCCATGAATTGCTGAAGACCCCGTGCCTCTCTTGCCGAATTATTTTATTATCGTACTTTATGGTGATTGCCTTTAACCTTCCATGTCCCTTGTTGAACATGGTGTTATGGAAACGGAGACTGACTGCCTGGTTTACTGTATCACCAGCAATATATAGTAAACACATCAATCCATGGCCTCTGCTTCCCTCTCAGTACCTTTCCATCTGTCTTGTCCTTTAGATATTGTGGAAGGAAACCTGAAGTCCATCATGAGGCTGGTCCTTGCCTTGGCAGCTCATTTTAAACCTGGCTCGAGCAGGACAGTGAGTCAGGGGCGTGATGCCAGAGTCCCTGCACAGAGTCATCAACCACACTGTGCTACGGCTGTGGCCCAAGGCGCGGCTGCTGCTCTGGCTGATGTGTGCCGTGACATGTCTCGGTCAGGACGGGATGTCTTCCGCTACAGACAGAGGTAAAAACCTGGGAGGGGAACTGACCCCTCTCCCTGCTATTTCTCTGCTTAGATAATAACAGTGCAAGTAGATGGACATATCGATCAAGCAGACCCACACCGCAGAAGTGACCACAGAATAGAGCAGAGGTTTGGGAAGGAAATCCTAGTGAGAAAAGCTTGGTCATTTTGGGATGGTACTGGGTAGTGAACCTAGAGCCGTGCGTACGCCAAGCTGGAGCTCTGCCGCTACTGTGCTATCCCCCGAGGGTTTTGTGTCTTATTTTGAGACGGGGTCTTATGTTGCTCAGCTGGCCTTGAACTCATCCTGCATGTAGTCAGACAGGCCATGAACTTGTGCTCCTGCTGTCTTAGCTTTCCAAATAGCTGGGATTATCAGCCCAGCTAAGCCAGACTAAGCCTTTTCATTCGAGATGTTTACTTTGCAGTTAGCAGAATGTAAGTAACCATGTGTGTAAGTTCGCTCTCATGCCCAAAATTTAAATATATGTGGTTGGCACAGTGTTTTCTTCACTGGGAGATATGTAGTCCATCTGGAGGAGGCTGTATCCTGGAATGTATCCACAAGACCAATCTGTCTTGAAATTTCATGGCAGGAAGTGTTTTGAGGGCTGTGTCGTTGCTAAAGGCGAACATGACCCAAGGTGTCACAGAGTGGGCAAAATTACTGTCTTTGTGTTTGCCTTCCCTGCTAGGTTTTAAGTGCCTTAGAAGAAGTTCTGAGTTTTACCTTGTTCACCTCCTAAATGTGTGTATTTGTGTGTAGATAGGATCTTGCTATCTACGTAGCCCAAGCTGGTCTCAAACTCCTGATCCTCCTGTCTCTGCCTCCTGAGTGCTGGAATGACAGATGTGTGCTAGGCTGCCCAGGTGCCTTATTCATCCTCTTTCCTGGAGTGCACACTGAGAGGCAGGATATCTCCTCTTGCAGAGCTGACCTGAACTGCAGACCTAACCCTGTCTTTTCTGGTCCTCTTCTGCCCCTGCTTTTCAGGAACAGCAGCATGGACGAGGAGATTGAGAACCCTTACTGGAGCGTTCGAGCACTTGTGCAGCAATACGAAGGACAGCAGCGGTCCTCTTCCGAGTCTAGCTGCTCCAGGTACGTGTGGCCTTGCCGTCTTTACCTTTCCAGTCTTGGTAGAAAGCTGCTCTCTGGGGGAGTCTTAGCCTCAGTAGCAAGACCAAAAGCACTAAGGCACCCATGGGGTTGAGTACCATATCCTGCCAGGCTTGGGTCTGGAAACCTGACCAGGGTAGCAAGGGAGCAAAGAAAAGGCAGTCATTGAAGAAATGACTCACATACATCAAAAATGTGGGATCCGTTGGGATGTGCGAACTTTGCGGTATTTATTAGGTACCTCACAGAGGGGAGGAGTTAGTTAGTCTTGGTGGGTCTCTAAGTGAACAATCTGGGCTATAATCATCCAACACCCAGGAGCCGATAGTTGGGCACAGGTTGGTCGACCGTTTGTAAACACTCACACTTGTGCACTATCGGTGTTTGCACTCAGATCAGAGGAAGCCTTTACCGGCTCTGAGCCTGACCACTCTGAGGAAGGCCTTGCCAATTTCCCATGGGTCTGAGGCAGTGGTTCTTGACATGACAGCGCCAATTCCAGTACACATTCACTCAGGTCTTCATCTGCGCTTGACTTTTCATTCACAGCTTCTTCAGCTCCCCACAGACGGGCGTGTATGGAGTTTACTGTTGGAGGGCTTGTCTTGCTGGAGGCCCTGGGTGCAGACCCTAGTGTTGAAAAACAAAGAGCTTCCCTCAGTTTACCTTTGGCATTCAAGGACTAGCTCTCAGCACAGCCTGTGAGTTGGGTGTTGACAGAAGAGTGGGATACAATGTTGGTGAACTTCCCACATACAGACACTGCAGCGTCCCAGTGACAATAGTTAGCTCTGGCCACATGGGGGTGTGACTGGGACCTTCAGAGTTCAGTCCAGCCCAGTGTTTGTGCCGTCAGCTGCTAGTGTTTATGAAAGTCAGTTCCTGGGCCCTGTCCTGCAGGCTGAGTCTGATTCTTCTGTTATAGCCACAGAAGGCTGGAGAAAGCTCCCAGCAAGATAGGAAAATGTGCAGGACTGTCTGACGCATTAGCGTTTCCACACTCATTTATAGGACTGTGAACTGGGGCACATTAGTATGCACTGAAGTGGGATAGGGGTGTTTGTGACTCTGGTAAAGAGGCTCTCTGCTTCCCTTGGAGCCAAGGGCAGAGGTCAGAACAGGACAGTCTGCTTTAATAAAAGCTTGGCCAATGCCAAGTATAGTGGCAGAAAAGGATTACTCTCCTGGCTCATGGAGATTATGCCCCAATAAACACATCCCCAGCCTACTTGCTAACTTGATTTTGTTGCTAAATTATATTGAGCATATCCTCTAATGATCTTTCCCTCCTACTCCAACCCAGCATAGTCTGATCTATTTAAATTTAATTGTGCCTTGTGTATATTTTCCATCATTTTTTTCTTCCTCCTGTTTCTTTTCCTCATACAATCCCATTCTATTTTGACAGACCATTTTCTCATTTATGAAGGTCCTGTAGACCTCTTTCCATTAACTTAATATACCGCCAACCTAGCTCAACCTTGAAATGTTTACATATAATGGGGGGGTAGTTTCTATTTTTGACATGGATCTCTAACAAACATTTCACCATTAAACATTTCAAAGTGTTCAGTGTACTACCTTTACAAGTCTGTGTAAGCCTCATCTCTATCCACTTAGAAGACATTTTGACCAGCCCCCAGAGAAACTCTCCTGTGAAGCAAGCAGTAGGTGTGCTTTTAATGAGACTCAAAACCACTGCTTTTTTGCTCCTGGCTGGGACTACATCTTTGGCTCTTTCCAGTATCAAAGGCTGTTCTGTTGTCTAATGAGGTCTATTGCTTCCTGCATCTCTGCTGCCCTTTGGCTCTCCTGAGCCTGAATGTGCCTGTGAATTAGAAGGAGAAGGGAAGAGAGCTTGAGTCCCTAAGGCTGGCTGCTTCCTTCCTCCAGGCAAGACTCAGACTGCTGCTGGAGGTGTGAGCTCAGTATGGGGGCCCACTAGATATCAGGCTGTGTTGGGCTAATGGCAGCCCTAGGAGATGTGTCAAAGAAGATACATTCCCTCTTTTGTCCTCTTCTTCCTGATTGTGCTATGTTCTTTGGGATAGGGTCATCATTCTACCAGTTTCTTCACTGACTCCTCAGGAAAGGCGAGGGCTTCTAGCAGGTTCTGCCATTTACCCACTTCCATTTGGGCACCTGTTGACCCTGTGACTCCTGAAAGAACCAGCTATCTTGCAGACACTGCATCTTTGGGTGGAGTACAGCTGCAAATAGGATAGACATCCACGGTGTCTTCCCCTGCTGCTTCCTCCCCGCACCCCTCTGCTGCCTCTCAAGGATGCCCTAGCAAAACAAAGCTCTACCCTCCTGTTGCTCCGGTCGACAGGCTAAATTCTCACTGTACCTAAGCAGAACGATCCTTTCGGGGAGGGGGTACGGATGGACAGACTGACATAGAGGGGAAGGAAGGGGGGTGCAGCAGGCCGAAGGGCATTCTGCAGGTTTGCTGAGGGTGGGGGTAGCGCCAGTCTCTATCCTGCCTGCGTCTCCCATTCTATCGAGAGCAGAGAGAGCTTCTCGAGATTAGATCAGTCTGAAACCGGCAGCGTGTCCAAGGAGGGAGGGGTCAGAGAGGTGCAGCAACGAGGGAGGGGTCAGAGAGGTGCAGCAACGTCTTCTCTGCTGCCTTCTCGGCACCAGGACCATCAGATCCACGCGGTTTTGCCACTGCGCTGCCCATCCCCCGCTGCTCCCCGAGCTCTGGTCACCCGCGGTCCAGCCAGTTCCGGACCGCGCCCTTGGCCCCGGCCTCGGTCGGCACCCCTACCTCTCTGCTCAGTGCCGTCGGCTGTGCTTGGGTCGAAGCCCGGCGCTGCCTGGCCGCATGTGACAGCCTGGAAAGGGGGAGGGGGAACAAGGGGGGAACGGGAAGGGAGGGATCAGGAGGCGGTGCCGAGCAGGAGCACATCACACCGGACTCCACTCGACGCTCGGCAGGAGCCACCAGAGCCTCTAGCCCCGAGGGAGATGGGTTGAGATGCCGCTGCCCGGGGGAATGCTCGGAGCCGCACGGCTGCAGAGACCGAGATGCAGCTGCCAGCAAGCAGCCGCTGGCAACGGGAGGAGGCTTCCGCCGAGGCTGGGCTGCTGCGGAGTCTGAGCTTCTGGGACAGCGCACTTCACCCCAGGGAGCATCCCTGTCTCCAGGGCCAGGACGCCCACCCCTGACCTTCCTACTTTCTTCGGAGACCCGAGCGAATCGTTCCGCTGACTGACTGATCTCTGGAGTCGTTCTTCGAGCCCCCGCACGGGAGGGACATGCCAGAATTTAGGAGCAATGTGACTCTCAACCTCCCACCTCATCCAGGGAAGCAGGCTTGCTGAAGCCGGAGCCAGGAGGGGACCATGGGAGGGACACAAGTCAAATGGTGAGCTGAAGCCACTTTGGCTCGTGAGGTGCGGATACGAGGGGAAGCAGAGCCAGGACCGGGGGACATGGTTGACTGGGGACAAGAAATGATTGGGGGTGCTATTCAGTGAGAGCAGGCTGCTGGTCTGGGATTAACACTACAAAATAGAGTTATTTGAGGAATTTGGAGCCGACTTCGGGGCGATGGGACTCTATTCGTCTACTATACATTTAGAAAATTAGTATGTCTAATTTGGCGGTATCTTTGCTGGGTTTGTTGGTAAGATAAATTAATATGGGTGAGATACTAGATTAAGAAATGCATGGATAGGACCTATTTGTAAGCAACAGTTCTCTGGCCTCAGAGAGGATTGTGATGATGAGATTGTTTGTCAAGTATGACTTTTAAGCTAGTTAGGGAGGAGCCCCGTCTTACAATTAATTAATTAGCATGAAGATACTTTCCTCTGACCTGAGGCGGAGGGTTTAAAGCACCTTCCTCTTCTGGGGGTGCGGGGGTGTCTTACTGCTCTGACACATGCCCCAGGATTTTCCTCCCTCCAGGTTCTAGATCTTGGCCGTCTAGCTTCCTGGTCTTACCTCCGTGGCCTGATCCTGGCAGTCTCATTTCAAGAAAAAGAAATGTTGTTTTCCTTTGCCTGCTCTGCCACTCCCCCGGTGGGGTTGGATAACCAGACATCCGCCTCCTTCTGCCCTTATATGGGAGGCAACTTACTTGGAGAGAGAGGTGGAACTGAGCATGCGTCTGTGGTTTTAGGAAAGCCTTTTCTCAGCATCCAAGATCCCCCATTACTCCCTCCCTCTCTCCAATCTGTCTCACACATCCCTCCTGCGGTCCAGCCAGATGCAGGCAATGGGACTTGTTATCCCTAGTACCTTGTCAGCTGGAGAAGGAGGGGCAACTGACAAGGGCTTTGTGCATCCGGATTTCCCAGTTTTGTAAGAGGTAAATGCTGGAGCCCAAGCACGCATAAATCTCTCATTAACGACACAGCCCCTTTGCGTGAGAGCCTTCCAAGCGACTGTGAACTCACTTTGGCCTGAAGGTCAGATTGCCTACATAGTGAAAATGGCTAAGAAAACATTCAACATTGCTGAGTAGTACCTGCTATCCCTCACTTTTCTCACCCGCTTGATCTATACACCTCCAGATATATATAAAGCAGATTTTAAAAAAAGATGAAGACATAGTACTAATTGAGATTATTTTCACCAAAGTTTTTCGATTGTGGACCGTGGGTAGACACTAGTCCACAGTTCTGAAATCTGCTGCTTCCACTGCGATTGTTTCTAGTTTTTTCTCTGGTTTGTGGAAAGAGGAAATTGTTAACTCCTACTTGTGGTCGTGAGGATTAGCCTGGGAGACTTCAGGGGCACATTAAGGGGGTCAGTGAATCCTAGACACTTTCCCTGTTGTCTGGGTGATAGATTTGGAAAGAATTCCCAAGAGGGGGCTGAGCCATCGACTCCACAGCCCCTGAGATTGTGCTGGTGCTGATGTTCTCATAGTGCAGTGTGGAGAGAAAGGGCTCTCCAGACTCTTCCGTCCTTATATGATAGAAGTACACAGCGTGGAGAGAAAGGCTCTCCAGACTCTTCCGTCCTTATATGATAGAAGTATACAGCGTGGAGAGAAAGGCTCTCCAGACTCTTCCGTCCTTATATGATAGAAGTATACAGCGTGGAGAGAAAGGGCTCTCCAGACTCTTCTGTCCTTATATGATAGAAGTATACAGCGTGGAGAGAAAGGGCTCTCCAGATTCTTCCGTCCTTATATGATAGAAGTGTCATCCTTGCGTTCCCATCTCGTCTGGTCCAGAGGAAGATTTAAAATCTGCTTCCCTGAAAACCTGAACAGTTCCTCTCAAAGCTACATCAGAGCACAGAAATTATTGAAAGGTATCTCAAAATAACTTGAGAATATGAAACTATGTCAAATAACAATAAAAATAATAGTAATTCTTCACTAAGAAGGAGCTACTTAAATAAATTTTGATCCAGCTGCCACTAGCATGTTTTTCTTCCTTTGCCCCACCACTCTTATTGTTTTAAAGATTTATTTTTATTTTATGTGTATGAGGGTTTTTTTTGTCTGCATTATATGTCTGCATCACATGCATGCCTGGTGCCTGTGGAGGTCAGAAAAGGGTGTCAGTTCCCCTGGAACTGGAGTTGCAGATGGGTGTGAGCCACTGTGTTAGTGCTGGACTGAACCTGGGCCCTTTGCAAAAGCAGTCAGTGCTCTTACCCAGCAAGCCACCTTTCCAGCCCCCTCTTCTTATCATATTCTGGATCACCTGTTGATAAATTACTGCCCTTCTGCCCATCCTGGCACTGCAATCACATGAGCAGTTTCTACCCCTAAACTGTCTTCTGCCATGACTCCTCTTTTGGGATTAATTTAGAGCTGATCTCTGGTTGTTTGTGAGAGACTCAGATTTTTGAAAATATGATTTTGATCCAGCTCCAAAAGTTAATGAAATACAACCATAACCCACTGAACACGGGCCTAGGAATTGATAGCAGTGGCTACCACAAAACAAACAAAAACCCAAAAAGCAACAACCAAAAAAAGAAAGAAAGGAAGGAAGAAAAAGAACCCACACAACAAAACAAAGCAGTTTTTAAAAAATGGCTTATTGCCTATTCTGGTAACTCTCATTTCTATCAATTATGCTTAAAGGCAGTCTTATTGTAGAATGAACTCCCTGGGGTGTTGGAGAGATAGCTTAGTGGTAAACAGTGCTCCCTGCTCTTCAGAGGATCCAAGTTCAGTTCCCAGCACCCACGTAGAACAGCTCCCAACTGCCTGTAACTCCAGGTCCAGGGAACTCAACATCCTCTCCTGGTTTCTGTGGGCATCTGCATTTACAAGTACCCCACCCCCACATAGAGATATAGGCACATACACATAATTAAAATGTAAAATAAATAAATAAATGACATTAAAAACAAAATACTCCCTAGGACTAGGTTTCTTTCACTTACTCCTTCCATATTTCTTTCATTTGTTCAACAAACATTTGTTCTAATTGTGAGCATCATGTTAGGCGTGGTATGAATAAGATTATCTCTGGGATGAATTGTGCAAGTTGACGTCTGTATAACTGTTCATAATTGTTTCTCTTCTCTTTTGTTTGACCACAGTCTGACTTCACCCAGCCCAATCCACAGTGCAAAGAGTGAATCCATTATAACCCAGTCAGAGGAAAAGGCCGATTTTGTGATTGTTCCCTCTGAAGGAATAGAGAACAGAACAGGTACCACTGCCCGCCTGTGGGTTGCTTCAAGGGGAGGCTTTTAGCGTGAAGACTTCAGAGCTTCTGACTATGTACGTTAAGGTTCCTGGCTGTGTCTGTCTTCACAGTTTGTGCTTGTAGGGTCAGGGTAAGCTCGAGAGGACTCTAATGCCTTTGAGCCAATTAATGTAGTCATTGTCGTACATGATATCCTTTCTGGTACTGAGCTGTCAAAAAAGCTCACAGCAGCGTAGAGCAACCTGCCCTTGACTGACTGCTACGAATTAGGAAGTGACATTGGGGCAGTCAGAAGCTGTATTAGGGTAAATAGTTTTTACTATTTCTATTTTGTGAAGATGATTTTGGTTCTTCACTAACTTAGTTTGGAGCCAGGAATATATAGTTTAAACCAAAATGCCCATGAGAACATGCAGCAGATCTTGTTATAAGGGCTACAGAAAGGACCACAGAGTTCTCATTGCTTAAGCTTTTGAGCCTGCCTCATTTAACCTTTTTTCCCTCCCTACTTAAGCATGAAAAGAAACATGGATAAGGCAAAGTACAAGTGTTAGCTTGACGTCTACTCATCTGTAAAGGTTGCAATGAAACTGAACCCCACAAAAGAAAGTCTAAAATGAAATTCTTCTTCACTCTGCTTCCCCTCCAGCCCAAGCATTTGTACCAGTCAGTCATAACCTGGGTGTGGCGGTGCACATCTGTAATCTCAGCACTCAGGAGGTGGGGGTAGGTAGATCACACATTTGGGGCCAACGAGACTACCTAGAGAATTCCAGGCCAACCTGGGCTACACAGTGAGACCCTGTGTCAACAACCAAAAAACAAAGAGCCATCCATGGAGTCAGAATCTCTTAAGGCTGCAGAGAGAAAGGAGGAGGATTTATCGACTTGCACTATCAGATACTACTGGGTCCTTCGTGTTTTACCTCTTAATCTTTACTGCAACTCAGGGAGTTGCTGTGCACCTTTAGAAGTAAAGAAGCTTGCCCAAAGACTTCACAGCCCTCTGTATTCCATAATCCACATAAATGGTGATGCATGTAATTAGTATAAAGGGACATCAGAGCGAAGAGGTCGTGAAGACAAGGAAATAAACCAGGGAGTAATAGTGAAGTTTTGTGAGTATGCTTTACTAATTTTATTTCAGCATGAATCACAGGATATTGTGGGGAAAAGGTCCAGTTATGCCTCAATGGGGTGAAAGGAATAGGTTTGTCTTAGCTGGGTT